CCTGAGACCCAGGAGATCTAAGTTCAAATGCCCGCTTGGCCATAGGATGGTGGTGGTGGTAATTTGGGTAAAACCACTCTTAAAATCTGTCACATACTTCAGAAATCCTTACTAGGAGAGTCATGGGTAGGAATTGACCTGAAGATAGAGAACACAATTATTCTTTTCAGCTTGGCGATGACTGGCCGCTCTGGAAACAACTCTTTGAGGATGAGGGGAGGGGGGAAGAACCCATATATTGCTTAGTGTTCATTTATCTTTTTTCTTAACACACACAAAAAATGAGAGTAATTCCTTACAGTAAAATTGTTTTAAAAATGGTTCCCATTGTGGCAGGTATCAAGTACATCTCACCACAAAACTGTAGCAGTCATAATTGTTACATGGCTGTCAAGTTGCCTATGACTTCTGGCAACCCTATGAATGAGCAGTCTCCAAAATCCCGTTTTAAACTGCCCTGCTAAGTAAGCTCTTGTAAACTCAGCCCTGTGTCTTCCTTTAGCAAGCCAATCCATCCCCTATTTACTTTTTCTCTTTTCCTGATACTTTCCATCTTTCCCAGCATTATTGTAATTTGCAGAGTAGGACAGCCTCAATTTCAACTTGATTTGCTCTAGGATCCACTTGGTCAGCTTTCTGGCAGTCCAGGGTATCTGCAAAGCTATCCTCTAGCACCATATTCCTATTCCTATTCTTCCTTGTCAGCTTTCTTTCCTGTCCATCTTTCACACCCACACACGGTGACTGGAGATACAAGAGCGTGGATGACCATGGGCCTCAGTGACACATCCTTACACTTGATGATCTTTTCTAATTCCTTCATTGACGATTTCTTGGCTGCAGTCTCCATTTGGATTGATGATTGACCCAAGGTATACAAAACCTCTAACTACAGTATTTCAATTTCTTCATCATCGTCATTAAAGTTGTCTGATTCTTCTGTAGTTATAATTTTTTTTGCCTTCTTAATGCTCAGCTGCAGTCCTGCTTTGGCACTTGCTCCTTTCACTTTCACTGAAAAAGCATTTCAAAGTTTTTGCTGCTTTCTGCCAGTGAGATAGTGTCATCTGCATATCTTAAATTATTGATGTTTCTTCTGCCAATTTTCACTCCTTCATCTGAATCTAGTCTGACTTTTTGTATGATACGTTCTTTGTACAGATTGAACAGATAAGGCGATAAAATGCACCTTTCTCTTGCATCTTTGCCTACAGGAAACCATTCTGCCTATCCATATTCTGTCCTAACGGTAGCTTCTTGTCCACAGTACAAGTTACTCATCAGAACAATCAAATGCTCAGGCACACCCATTTCTTTTAGAACAACCCATAGTTTCTCATGATCCATACAGTCAAAGGCTTTATTTAATCTATAAAGCATAGATTACTCTTCTGAACCAGACATGTGATGTCCATACATGTGGACATCACCAGATTTTGTGGAGCTGTGTCAAATAAATACCTAATGCAGACAAAAAATCCATGCACCAAAGAAGGCCATAAAATTGAGGCCAAAATATTTTGGACATTTTAAATTGAAATAGAGGGAAATTTATTTATTTTTTTACATCATAAGTTTTTCCTTCAGAATTGGACTATGATTCTTTTAATCTTTTTCAGCTTTACTCTAATGTTGAATTAGCAGTGCAAGCTGTTCCTGGTCTTGTTTTGACTAAGAGAATAAAGCTTCATCATATCCTCCTTCCAGTTATGTAGTCTATTTGATTTCTGTATTGACCATCTGGTAATGTCCATGTACACAGCCATCTGTTTGGTTGCTTAAAACATGAGTCTTTTTTACGAAGGAAGATGGGATAAAAATAAATATATTTGCCATAAACAGATTGTTGGCTTTGCAGAACTTATTCAGTCATTCTGCTGCTTCATTTCTGTCTCCTAGACCAAATTTTCCAACAGCAATTGATTCTGCTTTGTTCCCTATCTTTGTGTTCCAGTCACCTATGATTATAAGCATGTCATTTTTTGGTGTGTGAACAATTTCCTCCTGAGTGCTTCCATAAAAACTTTCTATTTCATCTTCTTCAGCATTGGTAGTTGAAACATAGACTTGAATGATGGTTATATGGATAGATTTACTAAAAAGTCTGATTGATATTATTTGGTCTTATCTTGCACTCTGGCCTTCAACTGCCTGTGTCAGAACCTGATAAAGATAAACCTCCCAGGCAAAGAGAACAGATTCTGTGATTCATCATAGCTGACATTATCCCAGTAAAGGATTAATCCCAGAATGAAACCGGGTAATCAGTAACAAGCATTTGCAAATTCAACTGGGTATATGTCTTTATTCTTTCAATAATTCCAGACAATTTTAACACTTGTCAATTCTGTACAATAATGTTTTTCATATAGAACCTAAAGTCTTCTAGAAACAGAAGATTCTTGGTTCCATATGAAAAATATCTGTGCTACATCTTGCCTCAGTATTTAGAGGCACTCCATTTCAGTAAACTAAAGTGAGCTGAAATGGGATATTTTCAGTCAGACAACTACAAAGTGCTATACTGTGGAAATGACAAACCCAGAATACTTTGTTGTCTGAAAAGATTTAATTCCATCCCATTTTAGTTCACTGACATCAAGCACTGCAGTGTTCATGTTCCATTGCTTTACAGTTTCCAATTTACCTTGATTTATTCTTTTCATGCTGTATATTTCAATTACATGTGTTGTGCAACATCAGACTTTCCTTTAACTTCTGTGCAGGTCAGCCACTAGACATCCTTTTTACTTTAATCCAGTTGTGTCATTAGTGAGAGCATTATTCGTAATTATCTTTTGTTCTTCCCCAGTAACTGATTGAGTGCTTTCTGATGTGGGAGTCTCATCTTCCAGCACTATATCTTGTTTCATTTTGGAGTCTCATCATAGAGTTTTCACAGTAAGGAAAGTTCAGCAGGGGTTTACCATTGTCACCTTCTGCTTGTTATTAACCAAAGTTAGCTTATCACTGTCATTGCCTTCACCACCGGCGTCACCTTCAAGTACCACTGCTGCTCAGTAGCTGCCTTGAAGAGGTTGGATGCATCCTAGTCTGGTATCTCAACTGTAACCATTTCACCTTGAATAACCCTGCCAGGAGCCCAGGTTCTTAATGCAATCTGGCTTCTTGGTGGCATTGTTCTCAGCTTCACTGGCATGATGACTTCTGGTTAGCCAGGGAGGAATCGTTTCACATTCAAGTCCCATGAACACCTTCAAAGTGAATTCTAGCATTTTTTAAACCTCATATTTGAACCCTGTCTTAATAGGGCATCTCAGATATATGTTACAGATAATGATCCCACATAGAACAGGGATTCTGTCACAATGCAATTTAAATCGATCCAAGACAAGACAAGCACAGCCCATTTTGTACAGTACCGAAAGAACCTTTTAACATAAATTCTACACAAGCTAATGTTTTGTGTGCATTTTATCTAGGTGTCTTAGGCATCAATTTGTTCTTGTAAAATTAGATTATAACAGGTGCATGGGTGGAAGTTTAATAATAATGCTCTGTTTTTCAGATTACTGCATTCATGCTTTTCCATTGCTCCAGAGATGTGTTAAGGATGGCATGCCTCCATCACCACAGTTCCCAAATGCATCACTGTTTGAGGATCATTAAAAAATGTATGAGCACTAGTGCAATTCCATGCAGTCGAAGAAGGGTAGTTGTCACAGGTATCGGTTTAGTGTCCCCTCTTGGTGTTGGAGCCCAGTGGGTGTGGAATAGCCTTCTTCAAGGAAATTGTGGGGTTGTTGCTCTTGAAGAGGAGGAATATTTGTCTATTCCTTGTAAAGTGGCTGCTTGTGTGCCAAAGGGAGCTGGGGAAGGCCAGTTCCATGAAGACACGTATGTGTCAAAATCGGAAAGCAAGGCTATGTCTTTTGCCACCATCATGGCCATAGCTGCTGCTGACCTCACCTTAAGAGACGCTGGCTGGTATCCACAATCTGATCTGGATTGTTTAAGGACTGGTGTGGCAATAGGAATGGGAATGGTTCCCTTGGAAGAAATTTCTGATGCTGCCTTCATGTTCAAAACGAAGGGTTACAAGAAAGTCAGCCCGTTCTTTGTTCCGAAGATCTTGATTAATATGGCAGCAGGCCACATTAGTATCAAGTACCAACTAAAAGGACCCAACCATGCTGTATCGACTGCTTGTACCACAGGAGCGCATGCTGTTGGAGACGCCTTTCGCTTTATAGCATATGGTGATGCTGACGTAATGCTGGCTGGAGGAACAGAGGCTTGCATTAGCCCATTATCTCTAGCTGGGTTTGCTAGAGCTCGGGCTTTGTGTACTAGCTTCAACTCAAGCCCCAAACTGGCTTGCCGGCCATTCCATTCTTTGAGAGAAGGATTTGTCATGGGAGAAGGTGCTGCAGTTTTGCTTTTAGAAGAATATGAGCATGCCGTACAGAGAGGAGCAAAACTATATGCGGAAATTTTAGGCTACGGACTCTCAGGAGATGCTAGCCACATTACAGCCCCTAATCCAGATGGAGATGGTGCCTTCAGGTAAAAAAAATCAATGAACATGTAAATAATTATGTAGTATAGTGATAACATATATTTAATGTTATGATAATTCCCTAATTTAGCATGCTTGTTATGGAATTTGGATGTCTCCACATTCTTGTCTTGTCTATCAAGCACCTTACTTCTGGGGAGTAAGCAAATATTTAATTTTACTGCTACTTGCTTTTCTTAAACAGAACTTAGTTTTTTTAATTTTAAGTATTTAAGATCTCTAATTTTAGCTATGTATTGTTACATAAACTGCCATCAGATCTTAACTTTTGCAAGGAAAGATGTGGCATAAATCATTATGATAAGTGTAATCATAATAACTGCAAGAATGATCATGGTGATGTTAATAAAAATAACAGCAATGAGGTTGTTGTGATTAATATATAAGGACACAATCCTAAGTAATCAAAGCCACTGAGGCCAGCTGAGCCCACACTAAGCCAAGTGAAGCTGTGTTGAACTCAGTCCCCTTCCATTCTAGGGATGTTGGAAAAGATTTAGCCTGATCTTGGCTTAGCTTTGTGTTGACCATAGTTGCTGTGTCCCTGAGTTGGAGGAAGTCTGGATTGGCAGCATTTAACTTCTCCCTCAGCCTACCTCTTCAGCTGGCAGCTCTTCGCCAGCACAGTAGTTGTGAGGGTACTGCCAGTCATAAAGGCAATGGTGGCATCCAACAGGCTGTAATGCAAGTGTGCATGAGGCGTCTGCCTATTCCAAACACACTGTAGTCTCCACATCTTTGAATTAGTCTTGTGTTGTACAATCTGCATCTGAATCCGGAAACCAGTTTACTCCATATCTTATGACATGCCACTGTTTGGAGCAATGTAAGGTCTATTGTCACTGCTGCACCTTCAAGTGCGCCCACCTCCAGAGATTAGGAGGAGGATGACAGAGGTGAAGGCTGCTTTGTTCATGGTGCCCTGGTTGTAGAATATATCCTGGCACCAGTACCTTTATAACAGAGGCAGCAGATTGAGACCTTTTATTCAACAAAGTGTTGAAATCAATGAAAGCTATTTATTTTTGTTCCTCCCTTTGGTTCTAGATTGTTTTTCATTCAATAGGATGCAATTCTGACTAGTTAGTCTCTCCAGCTAAATTAAAGGCCAGCTGAACTGAAACCAGCTGAAGATATGTTAAATTCAAATCCCGTCAACCAAGGGATGTTGGAAATGAAACATTAATTATCTTCATGTTGATAATCATCACAATGGCCTAGCTGATTTACCATTTGTCTTGGATGTAAAAATTCCAGCTTAAATGATCACCTAGTTTTCTGAGATAATTATGGGCAAATCATTATCTCTCATTGTTTTAGAGACTTATTGAAGAATAAATAAAAACAGAATCAGTGAGATTAGAATTATAGAGCAGTTTAAATCTGAAATGTTACAGAAATGATTAATAATACAAATGGAAAAAGTTAAACAAGTCTTTCTTACCCTTTTTAGTGATGATGTTCATTTATCTGTATGAAAAGGATCATGTTTACCTGTAGTTATTAGATAAGCTTGGCTAGTTTTAAAAAGACATGGCTCCTCTGGAGAGAGGTAGTGTGTGTTTAAATATCTCTTCAGTTTGAAGACTGCAAGTAACATAGCAGAACATTTGAGATCATTAATGTCTTCAGCTCATTAGGACTGAATTTTCCACCTTAACATCAGCTTAGCAATAGATTCTTTCAAAGATTCAATTAACATGACTAACATGCAAGACAAATGCATTTATCCCTGTTTTAAAGATGTAACCCAAGGAGTTGGTTCTAATTAATTTGCATCTTGTGAACCTGTATTCAGTATATAGAATGTATGTATGATTCTCATGTTCTGGCTGTATTGTCTTTCATTCACAAAGGAGAGACCTAAGTAGGCTTTGTAAGGAAAGATAACTTTAGTTTCTTTCTTTTCTTCCTTAGATGTATGGCTGCAGCAATAAAAGATGCTGGAATTTCTTCAGAAGATATAACATACATCAATGCTCATGCCACCTCCACTCCTCTAGGAGATGCTGCAGAAAATCAAGCGATAAAAGGATTATTTAAAGACCATGCCTATTCTCTTGCTGTTTCCTCAACCAAAGGAGCAACAGGTCATCTGTTGGGAGCTGCAGGAGCTCTTGAGGCAGCGTTTACTGCTTTGGCTTGTTTCCATGGAATTTTACCACCTACTCTCAATCTGGATCAGACTGAACCACCATTTGATCTCAACTATGTTCCACTTACACCCCAAGAATGGAGAAGTGAAAAACGGCGTATTGCTCTCACTAATTCTTTTGGCTTTGGTGGGACAAATGCGACATTGTGCTTTGCTAATATTTAGTATTACAATCAGTGTAGGGAAAAACATATAAGCCCAGTATGCCTAGATTCTCCCATGCATTCCTCTTTGTGGTCCTGATTTGCGCAACTGATATGTTTGTGCTGTTTGCTTTTAGATTTGCTCAACATGTTGAATTTCCATCTTGGGTCCCCTTCTTCCACTAGATCAATATATTAGTCAACAAACCTGTTGTCCAAATGAAATTTTAGAGTCTGAGTCACAAAATTAAGCTGTAACAGAAGTCCCATTCAGATATTACAGCTTGAAGGCGAGAGGACTCTGACCATGGCAGGGATGAGGGCACACATAAATCTCACACCCAGTGTCCCCGCCCCCCACCTTTTGTCAGCCATACCTTTGTGGATGAAAGCCTTGAGGAGGTGTATATAAGCATATTGAACAAGCACATCTCCAACCCCTCACACTCTTGTGCATGGTTGATATGGGGCAGGGGACTTAACATGAATCTCTATGTCCCCAACACCACTAGAGCCCTCTCCACTTTCAAGCTGAAATGCCTAAATAAGGCTCATGTGATGTAAATAATGGTCTATAACAGAGTGACATAAATTTTTATATACTGGAAAGATGCCCACCCTACATTGGGCAACTATGCTCCTGAATTTATTTCATCTGCATAGTTGAGATGCGAATGGCAATGTCGCTGCTCTTTGAACATGTCTCGCCAACAAAACCATCATAGGGAGGAGCAAAGTGGAAGAAAATAATTTAACTTCAGGTTATATTAACTCCAGCTTTGTACTTCACTGTATGTTACAGTAGAGTGGTTTAACCAGTGCATGTTTACTTCTTGTTCGCTTGTCGCATGCTTAGACAATATGAGCTGCTGGCATTTGTATAGCATCACTTGTTAAAACTCTCTGTGGCTCTGGTTGTTAAGTAATATTAAGTAGTATTACTTGAGTTGTTGAAAGAGCACAACTCTCCTTTTCTTCCAAAGTGGCCTCCTAGCAAGTGCAGCCATTTGTGGTCTCTGCTATTCTCCCTTTCTTTTCCTATTTATTAGAGGAAGAGGGACAAACTGCCCATCGTTCTTCGCCTGTGGCTTCTCTTACCTTTTCTTGCCTGCTCTCCAGCTTGTTGCACTACTGCAAAATCTCTTAAGGATTTTTTCTAATCGAGTGAAGACTCATGTGCTATCAAAAGTCCTAGATCAGGATGGGCAACTGTGGCTCTCCAAATGTTGGTAGATTGTCACTCCCATGATCCTAGCTAGAGCTGATGGAGATGGCAGTCCAACAACCTCTGAAGATCACAGTGCCCCTCCACCCTGATATAAGACTCTTGACTAATTCCTGCAACAAGCAAGGTCCTTTTAACCACTGAGATCAGAACTTTAAAATGCTTCCATTTCTAAAGTGCAAATTTTTGGAACTCTGTAGAGTCCATATAAATACAATAGATGATTACATACGGCAGGACAAAGTGTACTCACCTCTTTAATTTTTCACTGTAATTGTAAAAAAATAATAAATCCTCAACAAATTTGACCATGAATGACTCAATGGGATGGAAAATTAATTACTTCTGTTGTTTTTGAGTTAGCATGTCTAATGTGAAAATGATTACCTAAAAGCTGTGTTGTTCACAACATCAAAGAAGTACATGTAGGTCATCTGCTTTTCCCGAAAGCAGATAATTTTTACGTGGTCTATTGTTGTTTGTTTATGCCCTACTCAAAAGTATTGGCTGTTACCACATTATTAAGTCTTTATTTGTGCCTTAGATATTGGTGGCAGCCTGCCCAAATCCTTGATATATGCTTTCAAGTAACACCTTTTTGACTAAGCAGGAGGTCTTATGTACTGGGCTTATATATTGTTCTTGGAATCAAAGCCCTAAAATGTCTTTTCAATTAAGCTAAAATTGAGGTGGGTAACTTGTTGCTATCCTATGGACTACAACTCCAATTGACCCTAGCCAACAATAACAGGAGATGCACTCTGCCAGCATCTGAAGAATCAGAAGTGACCCACACCTGAGTTAAATACATGAAAGTAAATTCTAACTGCACAACCCAACTGTTCTTCCTGTGCAGCAAAGTGAGTGAGCATAAGTGACTCATGACTAAAGCAAAGAGGGGTGGCCCCTGAAATTTGGGAGGCAAGACACTACTGAGTATGCTTAGTCTGCAAGCCATCCTTGTGAATGACCGTGTTTTTGTCATAAGAACATAAGAGGAGCCCTGGTGGATCAGGCCATTGGCCCACCTAGTCCAGCTTCCTGATCTCACAGTGGCCCCACCAGATGCCTCTGGGAGCACACAAGTCAACTAGATACCTGTCTCCTGATACCCCTCCCTGCATCTGGCATTTGAAGTACCTTCCTTTTTAAGTCTGGAGATAATACATCACCATCATGGCTTGTAATCTGTGATGGACTTTTCCTCCAGAAATCTGTCCAATTCCCTTTTAAAGGCATGTGAAGGAGGAGTGTGCAAGAGTGAGCCGTCCATGGTTATAGAGGCGGTAGAAGGAGGAGAGAATAATGAATATGCGCAAAAGACGGTGACTAAAGAAATGACAGTTACGAAGGAGGCTCAGGAAACTGAATTAGAGGAAAAGGCAGGAAAAGTGGACATCTGTCTGATGGAGGAGGACGCAAAGGGAAGGAGGGCAGAGCAAGAGGTGACAGTGTGGGAGGAGGATATAAGTGAGGATGGGGTACGTTGGTTCTGTTCAGTTTTGGAGGAGCATGAGAAAAGGAGAGAGGAGGCAAGAAAGAGGGGAGTTGAATATGTTAAGACACAAGGACTACTGAGAGATTTCCCCAGCCTAAAGGTGGGAGGACTGTTGCCTGAGCCGAACCTGAAGCGAGGAACACCGGCACAATTCCCGACCCAGGAGTGGACCGTGATTGTGGCACCGCGTGAGTTAGAGCTGCAGAGAGAGACAGAGATAGTCCATAACTGTTTCTATGACAAGCTGGGTGAGATGGGCTGGGTGAGGCACTCATGTTGTGGGACGATTTGTGCCCTAAGGAGTACTCTTCCCTGAAGACCGATGTACCAGGAATAGCATGGGTGAACCCCCCACTGAGTCCTTGGAAATACGGGGAAAGTGTTGGTTCTTCTAGTTATGGCCTGTTGCCAGAATTGAGAGTTTTTGAACCTATGAATAATGTGCTGGAGGAGAGTAAAGATAATAAAAGTGACAGTTTGAAAGTTATAAAAACGTATCCAGTTTTACTTCCCGACGAAAACAAGGAGTTGCCCAAAGAGAGTACTGAACCCAATCACAAGACATCTAGGCCAGATGCCATTATTTAGTTTAATCAGTAGATGTCACCGGACTTGGCTATATTTGGTACTGTCACTGTTGTTTAGTGATAGAGGTGTACAGATTTGTGTTTTTTGATTACAGCTCCCAGAATTCCCCAGACAGCATTGCCAGTTTTTAGTCCAAATATACTTGTTTATTTTGTAATATATCCAGTGAAGCCAAATGGTAAAATGTCTCTCAGAGATAACAGAAAACTGTTTCCTAGATATAACAATAACCTTGTTCATCTTCCAGAATTGCTTAAATGATATATTTCAAAAGTTATAGGTTTTTAGAAATATATTATTTATAATAGGGCATGATGCCTACATTTCCATTTTTCAAAAAAGTTGTGAAGGGACTATGGCTTTCAAAAGCCACAAGAAGCATAGCAGCAAAGTTTTAAATGAGTTTGTTTTCAGTGCTGGAAGTGATTACCTATGGGATTCGTTGTCGTTTAGTCGTGTCCGACTCTTTGTGCCCCCACGGACCAGAGCACGCCAGGCCCTCCTGTCTTCCACTGCCTCCCGGAATTGTGTCAAATTCATGTTGGTTGCTTCGCAGACACTGTCCAGCCATCTCATCCTTGGTCGTCCCCTTCTCCTCTTGCCATCGCACTTTCCTAACATCAAGGTTTTTTCCAAGGAGTCTTCTATGGGATTACCTACAAAGATAATTTTATCCAGACTTGTCATATTCTATATGAGTTGCTGAACCTGTACAACTGAAGAACAAGCATTTTCCTCTCATTGCCTGAATATCGAATGGCAATACTGAGAGAACGAGAAGGAAAAATTCAGTACAGTTAAAGAAGGATTTAGGTTGTTCAACAGCTGTGGCAGCTTAGAGCAAGGTAGTATGAGAAGAATGACAACAAGGAATCCAAAATAAAAAATGAAAAAGCAATAGCTGATGATGGAGAAATGAAATCACATGTTGATTAGAAGAATGAACTAGACTGATATCACAGTTTCAAACAATAGGAAAGAAGGTGCCAGGTCAGTGCACAATATTATGTAAGACCCTTGTCTCCCAGAGAAACGGTGATGTAGATTGTTAGACCAGGGCGAGGGGGACCCAAATTCAAATCCTCATTCAGCCATGAAGTTCAATGGACATTCCTATGTCTCTCAACCTAACCTACCTCTCAATTTTTTTTGTGAGGCTAGAATGGAAGAGATGTGCTTCTTTCAAATAGTGGGTGAAAAGTGGATAAAAATGCAACCATAACAGTTGTGAAAATCATAGCTCTTGGGCATCTTAGGCTTAATCTTGGCTCCTACTTAAAAGTGGTTGCCTAAAGTTCAGTTTGTGACTTAGAGATGCAAATATTGCTCTTGAGGAGAAAACAAGAGAAACACTCCTCTTGTCTTTGCACTGAAATTTCTCTGCCTGAGATCTTTTTCCTGAGAAATCTAGCTGAATTTCTTGGAAGTTTCATAATAATTTGTCTGAGGAGAATGCCAAGCTGTGAGGGATTTTTACTATTCATGTACAGAATAGCATCTTTTATTGTACAGATTCACCTGAAATATGTAGGAAATGCCAAGCTGCCCAACGATTGTTATATACACTATCCTGCATAGAATTGTCTCTCCTGTGTGGAATTTATCAAGAAGGAAATAATGATGCACAGAATTTGGCAGTAAAGATGAGTGAAAAACAGATAAAAGGGAAAACAAAATAGAGTCTCATTTTTATAGGAAGATGAGATACCTAACTGACACAGGAGGGTGTGTCTTTGTAGCATGTCATAATGACAAGACATGGATAGTTACCGAGAATTAGATATTTCATGAGTAGTTGCCACATCTATAATGTAAATTTAGCAGAGTTTTTGAAAATGTATTAACTAGGATGGAAAACAAATCGGCCAATTTCACAGCTTCACAATTGGGTATGTTTCAATTTGAGTCATGTGCTGACTTTTTCTTTGCTGATGTAAACAGAGTTCTTATTTTTAATCTCATTTTGGATATAATTCTTAAAATAATATGGTGAAATACACTGCTTATTTCAACACAAACCTTTGGAAATAAGGGTGGTCCTAACTGTGCCCTCCAGCTCTCAGAAGGAATCTTCCTATGAGCAGAAGGTCCAACGTTATCCTCTGGATCCAAATTATACTCTTATGTATTTTATACCTTGCCTTTGTTTATTCTGAAAATCTCAGTAAATGTCTATCAAAAGCTATGAAATTGCTCTACCATCTTCCCTTCAGCTATACTGTATCAATTTAGGCATGCACATGATGCCCCAAATTGATTGCCCATCACAGGTAGCAATGGAAGTATTGCTTCCTGTTTTTCTTCCCTGACTGCATGCGTTTATATTTCAAAGGTTCTGCTTCAATATTTACACATTTAATTATTAATTAACCCCCAGAATTTAGCCACTGCCTTTCAATAAAACATTCAAGATGTTTTGGAGTCAACATAGAAACAATCTACAATAATCTCATTTACTTTAATGCCCATGTACCCCCACTCTGAAGATGCAAAAAGGCCAGTGAGATTACAAAAAGTATTCCCAAATAAAAGTGCAAATAGTTAAGTTTTTAAAAAACGAATAAGGAATAACATGTGCTCTGAGGAAAAGCAACCTAATTGAATTCTGAAAATAACATAGCTGATGCTGGGAACTTATATGAAAGCTGTTACATAATTCAAACCAAGCGTATAATAGTTTCTGGCAAGCAAGGCAGGAGACATCATCCTGACTTTTCTAACAACAGCAATTAATTGTATCTTAGAAGAAGACCATTTTCTACTAGCAATCAGTGAACGGGGAACAAATTGATGTGCCAGTATCTGTTGCCTAGTACTGCTTCAGTGGGAAGCAAAATAATTTAACCATGATGGCTAATATGCAGGTACCAAGATCCAGTGAGCATATGGAGAAAACCATTCCATTCAACCTCTTATTGTCCTCCCTGCCCTGCTGACTCTCACAGAGGAGTGTTCCCCAAACTGCAGGAGCAGGATTTTAAAAAAAGAAGAACTAAAGCGGACAGGATTCTGGAAAAACTCAATGACATAGATAGACGAACTTAGAAGAATTAATTTTTTTAAATCACATGGCTCCCAAAATTCCTGCGGCTATCCTGGTTGGGGATTCTGGGAGCCATCTTTCAAAAAAGTGCTTTTCTGGGCACTAAGAGGTTCATGCGTGGCCTTTTAGACCTAGCTAGGAAGACAGAAGCACCAAAAGACATGTTAAGTCAAATGCTTATAGAATATTATGAAGAGAGAATGAAGGAAAAGTCATGGAGAAAATGATTGTTTAATGCACATTTTATGAGTGCGTAAGAGCTCTTTAAAAGGAATTGGATCATTCTGGAATTCATTACTGCTAGAGCTTCTGTTACATTTAGTATATTAAAAAATTGGATTTCAAAATGCCAGGATATGAGTAAGGAAAAGCTCTTGCTGATAGGGCCTGCCAGATGTGGATCTCCAGCTGTTACTAAATTTCAGTTCCCACACATCCCTGACAACATGGCCAGGGATTTCAGGAGCTGAATCCCGATGAAATCTGGGAACCCCAGTTTGGTAGCCAGTGTTTTATCAGATGTTAATAATAAATAATAATCATGCACCGTCAATTCTATTCTGACTTACCGGTGACTCTTTATTAGGGTTTTCCAGCTAGAGACTACACAGAAGTGGTTCAGCATTTCCATCTGAGGACATCCTGGGACTCTATGACTTGCCCAGGTTCACTTAGGCGGGCTCTCCTTTGCAGGAGGCAAATGGAAAATCAAACTTCCAACCTCTGGCTCCAAAGCCAGATACCTTAACCACAGAGCTATGCATCCAGCTATCAGATATTATTGCTTACTATTAGGAGTTTCAACTATGTATGTTTGTATTATTTTTAATGTCATTTTTTTTTTAAAAAGTGCATTTCTAGGAAGAGGTTTCCTCTCCTTTT